GAGAGCCAGCAGCAGGCTGCCGCAGGAGGGGACAATGATGGATCAAGGGGACAGTCCGGGGCAGAATCCACGAGAAGCAGCGACTGTTGGGACGTCAGGCTTCTTGGAGAGGTGGGTCTCAGGTGGAAGGAGTGACGCTTCACCCTCTCACCGGAGGAGTCTGGAGCTCAAGTTACAGAAGGGACGGTGGTGTGGGAGCTCTTCAGTGTGCTTGCCTGGCGTCCAGGCAGCCCACACTGCTCCTCCTCCATACAAAATTCAGGGCGTGTGGGACGGATTGACGTCTCACTGGGGCCACTGTACATGAATACCACCCAGCGCTCTAAGAGTATCAGATGCAATTTAGAAGTATTTGGGCTTCTGTGCCATCTGAATGTCAGGTGCCACTCGGAAACATCTTGTGTTACCAACATGACTGCCTTAAAGTAATAAAGATCTGACCCAGTAGAATACAGGGTGGGCTGCAGGTTTCCCACACTGAGTCTGCTTTAGGGATAGGACTGAGGTTTCTTTCCTCTCAAAAGCACTGTGAGGCTTGTGTCCTAAAGTGTACAGTTCTGCTGGCACTCCAGAGTGTGGATGTAAAGGGCAGCAAATTGATAAACAAAACTTACATGGCCAGTCAGATAAGATCATGACTTAAAGTAATTAATCCTAGCAGTATGTTCCGGTTCGAAGAAAATCTCATGTTTTACAGTCAGTTTAGTTAATTGATGAGGACATTAATTTAATAAATTTGGATGGACTTGGAATGTGGCTTTTTTAGAGGAGAGTGATTTCCGTAGACAGAAAGGGCAGGGACTAGGGTGGAAGTTAGTGGTGGAGAGCTGGCCTGGCATGTGGGAAAGCCTGGGTTCCAGCCCAGTGCTAAAAAACAAAACAAAAAACCTGAAAAAAAAAAAAAGAGCGGAGGCGTGGTGTCTTAGAAGAGGGCCACGTGAGCTCTGAGCATTTAACAGAGCTTAGAAAGTCTTCCTCCCATGAGGCTGACAGAAGTTGGGACAGAGACTTTTTGTGGGGCACCAGGCTTTGTGAGATGACCGTGGAATTTTAGAACTTTCCACCTTTGTTCCATTCCTGAGCTCTGATGGAATAGAGAGGTCCGGAATGAGCGTGCTCCTGAGTTTGGAGAAGGCTTTGTTTTCTCCTTTATACTTCTCTACATTTGCTAAGCAGTTTGTAATGCATATTTTTTTTTACTTTTCTAATTTTTTAAAATTGCACATTTTAGATGCACATAATGGTAATGTTAATCATAGGGAGGTTGTAGTTGTACAGGACACATCTTGCTGCTGCTTTTTCCCCCCATTTCCCCTCCCTTCCACCCCTCCTCCCCTGCTTATTCACAGCAGCTTTTGTGAAGGACCACCTGGAAGACTGTCCTTGAAAGAAGAGCAGTTATCTCCATTTTGGCTAAACCTGGCCCTATTTGCATGTATTGATGTATACAGAGCAGGCTAGAACTTTTCATTATCCCTTCAACTGGCTTTAAGCAATGCAAATCAGTCCAGCCGAGGTGCTGATGTGTAGTCTGTGAAGCAAGGTGACAGGGGAGTGTTACCCTGCCCCTCCAGCTCCCAGAGAACGTGTGTGAGCCCGGTGGGATGGAGTCGGCTGGGATAGAGCCTCAAGTTAGAGGCTGTGACTTCCCAGGGCTTGAAAGACAACACATCAGAGCTGAAGCACCAACCTCAAAACATTCGATACTGCCACAGTTGTGTTACGTAGATTACTCTTTCTGCATATTGTAGAGGTGATTTCAGGCCTCCTACCTAGCCCAGCTCACAGCATTCACATACTTCTGCCATTCTCATAGTCACCCACCCTCAAACCACTCCCTTCTTCATAAATTAATAAAACCTGGGTTTGGCCCTGGGTTGAGGCCTTTGTTCCGATTAGCCATCTTACTAGCTGGACTTAGGACCCTTGATTCCCCACAACTGCAAATACGCCTTAGTGTCTTTATTCTCTCCATGGGTTGCACTGGAAGGGGTTGCTTGGAATTAACTTGCCAGGATTCTAAGAACTTTTCCATGGGATTACAAATACAAACTTATCGGGCGGCGACAAGGACCACAAAAGGCTCTCTATAAGCCTTGTTTCCGTTTTTTCATTCTGTTCTCTTTTTTGTCCTTCTTTCCTTTTCCCCTCCCCCCTCCCTTGTTCCCCTTCCCATTTGAACATTTTGTTTCCATTTCCCAGTATCCATTGTACATTTTAGTCCTTACTTATACTTTTGGTTTCTCATACCAGAGAGACATTGTGCTAGTTAAACATCTGCATCTGTTTTATTTCACTTAAGAGTATGGTCTCAGAGTGTGTCCATTTAGACACAGATATCTCAAGTTTGTCCTTCTTTATGGCAAAGTAGTACTCTGTTGTATAAAAAAAAGTCTTCTTTATCCATTTTATCTGTTGATGGGCATTTGGTCTGTTTCCAAGATTTAGCTATTACAGACTATGTTGCTATATACGTGGGTGTACATACATCAGTGTGGTATGATGTTTTTAATTCTTTCGAGAAGATACCAAGAAAGGAAATAGCTGGGACAAGTGAGACCACTAGTCCTAGTTTTTTGAGATACCTTCGCACTGATTTCCACAGTGGTTGCACCAGTCTACACTTCCACCAACTGTGAAGAAGGGTTCCCACTTCCCCACAGCCCTGCCAGCATTTGTTGTTGGTTAATTTCTTGATAATAGCCATTCTTTCTGGAGTGAGATGGAAAAAGCAAAACCTCAGTGTTGTTTTAATTTGCATCTCTCAAATGATTAGTGATGTTGAACATTTTTTCATATATATTTCCCATTTCTACTTCTTCATCTGAGAAGTGTCTATTCATTTCAATCCATTTCAGATTGGGTCTTTAAATTTTGGGGAGGTCTGATTTTTTTTTAATTCTTTATATATTGTAGATATTAGTAGTTTAAGGAATAGCTTGAAAATATGTCTCCCATATTGTGGATTGTCTTTTCACTCTGTTGGTGGTTTCTTTTGCTATGCAAAAGCTTTTTAATAAGATGAGGTCCCCATAAAGCCTTTGCCTAGACCAGTGTCTTTAAGAGTTCTGCCTATTCTGTCTTCCGTCAGATCTAGTGTTTCTATTTTAATATTTAGATCTTTGATCTATTTCAATTTTAATTTAGTGCATAGTAAAAGATAAGAAAAACTCAGAGCAAACATTATGAATCAGTTTTTAAATGAAGCCAGTAAAGGAAAGAGTGTGCAACTTGAGAACAAAAGGTTGTATATGATTATATAATATCTCTAACGTGGGTTTTATGTTGCATTTTTTAGCAAGTTATGTCTTCTAAGTCTGAAATGCATACGTTCAGCCACTACACATCTGTTCAAGTTGATGAGTTTCAGTGAAACCAGCGGTTTGGTTTATTCCTGGCACATTTCATTAGGACAAGAAATTAAGGGTTGTAGAAAACAAGAGAAAATAGGTGTTTGTTGCCTGTTGGTTTTACGGGGATAGTCTGTGCATGAGAATATATATGGGAGATTTACAAAGGAAATTTAATAATACTGTTCTAGGAAACAAGTAGAGCTAAGTGATACAAGACATTTTCTTTGTACTTTATTCATTTGGAAAAAAAGTGTGTTTTACATTGCTATATCTCAGACAAAATTTTGTGACCAGAATAAAAATACCTTGAAAATTGACTTTCAAGGGCCTTTTATATACACATCTCAGGTCCTGTGCATTCCTCCCATTGGAGCTTTGAAGTCAAAGTCACTATTGTTAAGGGAAGACATTAATATATTTAGCAAGAAAGTCTTCATTTACATATAAATGGTTCTTATTTAAGAAGGCTCTTTGGTACCTGTAGCATTTATCACTGTTAAGAGCTAGAGATTCATAGAGCATCAGTACATAAGTGTTTTATTATCCCATCTGGAAGATTTCCTTATTTCTAAACAAGTACTTTTCCTAGTTCATAGAAAAAAGCAAAACCTATTTTATTTGAATTTACTGAATAGGAAAACTTTAGAACTCTTTAAGATTTTCCTAATGAAATGTATGTATTCTTTCTGGCAGCATTTACATCTTACCAAGAGAAGTAAACCAACACAGTATTATTAGCAACTTTTGAGACTTAACTCCACACATGAAATGCTGAGACCAGGTTCTAAGTGTGGCCAGTTCCGTAAACCCTGCATGGCCCTTGTCTGTACTGGGTATGCGGCAGGCTCCCCCTGGGCCTCCTGGGCTCCTGTTGCTCAGATCCGGGACTCATTGTTAGATTTACTCAGGAAACCGTTGTCAGGTGCCAAGCAAGAGTGGAGGCAAGAGCTCTTGCTACTACTCTCTGGAAATAGAATAGAAAAGAAAAGAAAGAATGATTTGCTGTGAAAGTAATGTTTCTACCAGAATCCAAGAAATAAAATCTGTAGAGTAGGAGAAGTTTTAATTTTTTTCTCCAGACTAGAAAATGGAGCTTTCTCTTAATAATTAAAATCTGATAAACTAAACAACAGACATAGAGTTTCAGTTAAGACAAGCAAGTGCTGCAGATCTGTTATACTACCATTGTATCTATAATCAGTGGTTATGGTGCTGGGCATTCACATCTGTGGAAGGAGGCCAGGCTCCTCTTCGCTGTTCTTACCATGATAAAATTACTATTAAGTAAATTTTTTGTTTAAAAAGGGCTGATAGCGGGACCTGGTGGCGCACACCTGTAATTGCAGCACCTGGGAGGCTGAGGCAGGAGAATCATTGCGAATTTGAGACCAGCCTGAGCTACAAAGGAAGCTCAAGCCCAGCCTGAACTGCATAGCGAGACCCTGTCTCAAAAATAAACAAAGGAAAAAAAAAAAAGCTGATGGTTACTGTAACTTCTCCTTTTGTTGAATGAGAAAAGGTGCCCACTGGGTGTTTGTCATTATGTTCTGACCCTCTGAGCAGAGGGAATGAGTGCCCTTTCGCTGTGAAGAAAATGCCGTGCCCTGATGCTGTCCGAGAGAATCATGAGCGTGTTGGTTTGTCCAGGTGGGCAGGTCAACCGAAAGCCCCATCGACTTTGTCGTCACAGACACCATTTCTGGCGGCCAGAACAACGACGAAGCCCAGATCACACAGAGCACCATCTCCAGGTTCGCCTGCAGGATCGTGTGCGACAGGAGCGAGCCCTACACTGCGCGGATATTCGCCGCTGGCTTTGACTCTTCTAAAAACATCTTCCTTGGAGTAAGTACTGGTAATCAGTACCTGGCCTGAAGAGCAGCGCCGGTTGTTATGATAGGAAGGATTTGAATGAGGCAAAACATGTTTGCAGTTTGTGATGCCTGTTTGGCTCTCAGGTGGCCAGTTTAAACACCTGTTAGTAAAAATCTGAAGGCTGTGTAACATCACTCATTATTTGTTACTCTTGCTATATCGATGATCTGTGAACAATAATTATTCGGTTACAGAATATGCGTTAACATGGTGTATAATGTATTTGTGGTGGGTTTAAGAGGGTTTATTTTAGAAGGAAAATCATTGGCTAAATCTAGATCATTAGGGCTCAAAGGAAAACCTCAGTGAGTCTTTCATTCATTCAAAAAAGTTTCAGTGAAGTTTTGTTGCATTGCGTACTGGATGTTACAGATACAGTATCACAGAGCAGGGAGGGCCCTGCCCTCGTGGGATTTCCCGGTAAAAGAGCCCCAGTGTCACCAAGAAGGAAGAGAGTGGTCATGGCGATTTGGGCCATGAGTGCCTTTTCCCTCTGTGCCCTCGCCTCTGAGCAGGTCCATGTTGATCTGTGTGAAAACCCATGGCTGCACCTTGTCAGCCGAACATTTTTTGTAATTTTGAACTTTTGCTTAGAAGTCTTTTTGTATGATTACCCCCCTTCTGTATCCAGAGGAGGAGTGTGCAGAGAGGGTGACGGCTTTCCACGCAGGCACCTGCAGAAGAGAGAAGCTGGCTGCTGGGCTTGGGGACCATGCATCTTTGAGGGGGGTCTAGGCACTGAGATGAATGTGTGTATCCACTGATAAATCGTTCATCCAGTGTAGCACATCTTTCATATTGTCAGAATAATTGCACATTTTATCCTGTAAGGATTACCTTTAAATAGAAAATGCAGATTTATCCTTCTCCTTCCCTCTGCCTCTGCCCAGTACCTTAAAGATTCCGGAGGCCCCCTGTTTTGCATGTCACCTTAGCATGCTTTTTCTACCCCCCAGGAAAAGGCAGCGAAGTGGAAAAACCCTGATGGCCACATGGATGGGCTGACGACCAACGGCGTCCTGGTAATGCACCCGCGAGGCGGCTTCACCGAGGAGTCACAGCCGGGGCTGTGGCGTGAGATCTCAGTCTGCGGGGACGTGTACACCCTGAGGGAGACCCGGTCGGCGCAGCAGAAGGGCAAGCTGGTGAGTGGGTCTCGCCGGGCACGTGGGGCCGAGGGAACCTCCCTCCCTCATGGACCTGACGCTGCAAGAACCCGAAACTCAGTCACTCAGCTCTCCCACAGTGGGAGTGAGATCTTTTCTCTATCTCTTAGGAGCATGATCTTTGTTCTCTACCTCACCACACATTTTTACTTAAATCTGCTTTATGGAGAATAAACTGAGAGCAAAACTTTACTGATCTGGAAAAGTCTGAGAAGTCCAGGACCACCAATTAGTAAAAATTTTGAGTTAAAGAATGACCAGGACTTTGTAGAATTAAGTAATAGTTAGGTGTCTTTGTTTTCTTACATTCGTAGTAAGAAATTAACACAGAATTCTCCATTGTTCTACAAAGTCATAGTTATAATTTTTTACTTGAAACAGCTCATGCGCTGTGCTGACGTGGCATGTTAATGTATTCCTGTAATCACCACCACTTACTGCCGTGCCGGCGCAGCTGGTTTGGGGCCCTTCTTCAGTGAGATCGATTTTAATTCCTAGTGAGCGTGAGGCCTCTGACTTTGCCTTGGCCAGGTGGAACAGCCAGGAAAAGACTTCGTGAACTTCCCACTTGTACTTCAGGTAATTGTTAGGTAGAAGCTAGAGCAAGAGGAAGCAAATGCCTTTTTCTAGAAGGTAGGGAGGAAGGAGTTCTTAAAAACTCCTTTTTTTTGTTTAAAAAAAAAGACTTTGTCTCTGATTGCTGGATAGTTCTACACAGGACTGGCCCCACTGGCCACACTGGTGCCCATCACTACATGGCCACCCCCCTGTGGGCTCCTGATGACAGGGCTCCGCTCTGTGGCCTTTGTACACCCAGGGCTCCGCAGGCTCCGACCCAGGGAAGCAGCAGTCAGTTCCTGCCGCCCATGCCTCACTGTGCTGCTCATCAGCTGTTAACTGGACCTGTACGACTTCGTGCATGGCACAGGCATCCTTGGAAAGCATAGGCTCGCTGTGGAGGATGTGGCCTCAGACCCTAGGAACAAGGGAGGACAGATGTGAAGGGTGTGTGAGGCGAAGGGTCACAAGCGTTTCCTGGACACTACAGTAATGACTTCAGGCCCCACAGGGCTCCTCTGTGTAGGTGATGGTTGACGTGTGAGAGTCCTCACAGGGTGCTCTGGTAGGACATCTGTGGCCCTAGTGAGAGCTGTCAATGTACAGAGTTACAAATAAAAACCTAGGGAGATGTGTGAAGTTGATGAGGACCGCAGCTAGCTGGATTTATAACGCCAGGTCCCTTACACTCGCAGCTTTGTACACTGGACAGCTGTGATAAATCTGTTGTGCAGATGAGGAAACTGAGGCTCTGGGAGGAGAGGTTGCTCCTTTGCTCCTGGGATAAACTGCCCCTTCCACATCTTCAAAAATATTTTGTGTGAGAGGGAAGTTGGCAAGATTTGTCCCGTGGTTTGCAAGGTTTTGCTTTCAAAAGGTGTCTGTCTGCCCCATTGCAGGTGGAAAGCGAGACCAACGTGCTGCAGGATGGCTCCCTCATCGACCTGTGTGGGGCCACGCTTCTCTGGAGAACCGCAGACGGGCTCTTCCACGCTCCCACACAGAAGCACATCGAAGCCCTGCGGCAGGAGATCAACGCCGCCCGGCCCCAGTGTCCTGTGGGGCTCAACACCCTGGCCTTCCCCAGCATCAACAGGAAAGAGGTGGTGGAGGAGAAGCAGCCCTGGGCGTATCTCAGCTGCGGCCACGTACACGGGTACCACAACTGGGGCCACCGCAGCGATGCGGAGGCCAACGAGAGGGAGTGTCCCATGTGCAGGACTGTGGGCCCCTACGTGCCTCTCTGGCTGGGCTGTGAGGCAGGATTTTATGTGGACGCAGGCCCACCGACTCACGCTTTCACCCCCTGCGGGCACGTGTGCTCAGAGAAGTCTGCAAAGTACTGGTCTCAGATCCCGCTGCCCCACGGGACCCACGCGTTCCACGCTGCCTGCCCCTTCTGCGCCACGCAGCTGGTCGGGGAGCAGAACTGCATCCGATTGATTTTCCAGGCTCCGGTTGACTGACGCCCTTCATGGCCACTCACTCTAGATCCTGCCTTTCTGTAATGCTGTTCATGGAGGGGAGGCTGGACTGGGCTGGCAGGGAAGAAAGGGGCACAGGACACAGTGCGGAAACACGGTGGCAGTGTCACACACACCGGCGGGTGTCACATGTTCCAGACGGTGGCGGTGTCCCAGTGTCTGCCCAGTTAAACCATAATCTCTGCGTGATCGTTGGTGGTCCGCTGCCCTGCTCTTATTTTTAACCTTGGGTTTTTAACCAGGTATTTTCCCTTTGTAAACTCAGACAAGATTTTAAATCCTGTTGCAAGTGTAGAAGAAACGTGTTCACATGTTGTTCGCTCATAGCTTGCCGCCTTGGTGTCACCTGCACCCGCGGTGGTGCCCAGAATCCGACCCCGGTGGCAGACATGGGCGACAGGCAGGAGGCCGTGATGGAGGGGCTTGTTCCGAACCGTGGGCCTTCGTTCTGGTTTATTTTACTGACATTTTGGGGAGAAAAAAATTCATGTACGATCGTAAGTTTTTTCTTACTGTAGTGGAATTTACTTATCCACTCACACATCAGATACTTGGCATTCCAAACAAAAGAACTTTCCGTGATGTTTTAGTCTGCCTTCTATACTTCCGCTTAATATGGTTTGTCCCCGGTCCTCATCTTGCATGGCCAGAACTGCTTGACGAGTTAAATACAGCAGCTCTTGGACATCATTAAGCGGCACTGCGACCTGGGCACTGTAATGCCGGCTTCATCTGCACACTGAATTATTTAAGATCTGAGAGAGATTCAAAGTGCACTTTTACGTTTTAAAACCACTTGTTGAGGTTTCCTCAGATGTTTTCTTTGTCTTCTGTAAAAAAATCAAAGCGCTGTGAGCCCAAAGGCAGCAGATCACGGTGATAGAGGCGTTTTTGTTTGCCCATTTCCCACCATCTGTCCCCTTCCTTTGCAGCTTCAGGAGCCCTCCGTTGTCACAATGTTTGCACATCAAACTAGATTTAACTGTGATCATTACGTATCCCCAGAACATCTGCAGAGATAATTTGAAACTCCTGACTTTGAGAGAGCAAAGGAGTGTTTCCTGAGGAATAATTAAATCAGAATTTTATGTGGGCTCCCCGCCCCTCGCTGTCGGTGTCTTTTCATTTTGAAGAATAACTCCTGGGTGCTCGTTTTCTGTGCTCAGTGCCGGAAGTATCAATGTTCCCGAAAGTGGAAAAGTTGGGTGGGCTAAAATAGATCCCTGCGCGAGGATCAAGTGTTCCTTTGAACTAACATTCTCTTTGATGGATTATTGCAGATTTGAACTACATTTTTTAACTTTTGTAAATATATGTAATTTATATGATTCTAATATACTATATTCATACTTGAATTGGTTTTCCCATATTTTGCCTATTGGCAAGTATTTTGCCTATTTTTAATCATTCTAACCTGTTTGAATACTCTTTTTTCTTAAAGCGATAAGATATATATCTCTTAATTGCTGCTGCTTAATTTAACTTAATGTTTTAAAAGGTCAGTCTGTCAGTTTTAAAATAGCTTTATTTTTCAATGGAGATCATTGTTAGGATGGGGTATTTTTGTTCGGGTAATTTTTAAATGATGTGAAAACCCAGCAACAGTCCTCTTACTGCTAGTTGTCTCAATTCTGTGTAGTTTACCGGCAGACACAAGAGAAAAAGAAAGGTAATTGCCTACAGGGAAGTACTGAGTGCTGTCTGGCTTAGTCAGAGTCTCCAATGATTAGCTGTCCCTGAGAGAGTGTGTCTTACAGCTGCAATCTTTGGACTCCAAGGAATGATGAAGGAGGCACCTCCTCCCTTATCTTGCCATATGACCTGAGGATTGTTGATTACCCAAGATCATCTTGTAAGGTGCGTAGCCTTGCATGCAGAAAGGCTACATTTCACCAAGAGAGACAGAAAGGTTTCTTTCTGGCAAGTTACGCTCTGATACATGTTTCCATGTTCATAAATACGCCTGTCAAGTAATTGTGCAGGCAACATATGCCCCAAAATAAGGTTACTTTTGAACTTGAGAAGTTTCTGACCTATAGTAAACTCGGATGGCTTAAGTACAAGCTGAAATTCAGGCAGTAAATTCTAAGCTCTTGGGAGGGGTAAGAGTGCCACCCTCAGTCGGCTTCACATCTTCTTGGGCTTCCAAGTGCAGTCCCCTCCCACCCTGCCCAAGCACCCACAGAGAGCGGCACAGCGGCAGGAAGGTAAGCCAGGCTCACTCACGTGGCTGCTTCGAGAACTTAGATGCCCACGTAGTTTTGACTGGTGAGATTTGTTTTCAGATTTGAAAGCAACTTGGTTTGTGACCATAAACTGTAGCTCACCAAAGTCCAGTGATACAGTTGAGGAAAGGTAGCCTCTCCAAGGTCCATTCTGCCCTGTGTCCACCTCACCATCACCTCACAGGACCAGAGTGGTGCTCCCTGACCCGTGTGCTCAGGAGTCACCCACCGGTCATCCTGGCCTCAGCCTGGGTGAGATGCCTTTTTAAGAAGGTTTCCAGAAGTAAAGCCCAATCATACATTCCCATGGATAATTTTTTTCAGTTCATGTCACTTTACTACAAACAAACACAGAGATTCAGGGTGGATGGTGTACAACTCTGAGTATTTTTCTAGTCTGGAATTTTGTATTAATAATGGGTGCTGCCGGGTCATGCACGCTGCCACCCTTGGCGTTTCCCTTCCTGGTTCCGCTTTTGCAGAAAGGGCTACAGTTCACACGGCAGAGTAACTATTAAGCATTCTGGGTTTTTTTCCTCCCCCAACCGTGGCCCAAAAGAATTAAAACCTTTTAATATAAATAACATATTTATCATTCCTCAGTAGTTTATTAACTATAGAGTTTGGTACCTTTGTGCCTCAGGGAAGCCACGTGATAGAACTGGTTTTAGAAATTCAGGGTTAGGGTCTACAGAAAGGAGTAAGCCATTGGAAAAATGATGGGCTCCAGGACGGAGACGAATGAACCTGGATGCAGAAATGTGCCAGGAACTGGCATAGACGTGATTGTAGTAGAATTTATTTTCCAGTACCAGTGGGGAAATCGTTTTAAGTTATTACATGTACTGTATTAGGAAAGTGGAGAACTCGTTTTTTCATAAAGCTTCATTGCCTTTTACTTTTGCTTACCTAGAAAAATGCAAACCTCTTGTTATGTGGGAGCTCAGTATTATTTGGGCGCTTTTAAGAGTGTAAGAGCTCACTTTATGCTTAATTTAAGTGTACTATGGATTATATAATGTCTGTAGTTCTGATTTCACTGAAGTCTTCTGTAAAGCCCTTCTGTCCTTAGGGTGTGTGCGAGAGGTGTGTGACCACGCGGCGCCGGTGCTGGGGAGAAAGTGCTATCTTCCTGTGAGCTGGTCTCCTAGAGGTGGAATTTCTCACAGACACACCACAGGACCTCGACCTGAAGCCAGTGCCGCTCTGTCCCCTTGGCTGTCCGTCTCACGTCCCCATAGTGTAGCCTTTGCAGTGCTGAAGTTCCTCCTACAGTGCTGGACAGAGCACTGCTCTGTTGGCTTTTCTTTATGACACAAAGACAAAGGAGATAACTTCAGGGTCTTTTTAAAAGAATGTAAGCATTACTGAAGCAGTCCAGCAGATGGTTCAGTATTTTCTTTTTACTAAGACATGTCCTTTCACATAGGTTCTTCACCCTCATGAAGAATCCCTAGAGAATGGGGAAAAACAAATATTTTTCCAGTTCTATTTAACTGTTTCTTAGTATGTTTCTAAACAAAAATAAACTCAATGAAAGGGAATTGTTTCTTTTTAGCTGAGATGAAAGCTCACTTCTCTGTATTAATCTAGAAGTGAAGGGCGTGGTCATATTTACCGTGTAGAGTATTATGAACAGTTAAATTTTAAGGATATATTTGTAAAATTGTTCTTTTATACTTCATGTTAAATCGAAAAGTTTATTTCTTCACTATTGTACCTGTGGAAATACAAGCCATTTTACAGGAAAAACTCTTCAAAACCTATTAAACGGATCTCACTATGTTTGTGACTTGTTGTCTTCAGCCTGCTTGTGTCACTGGCCTCACGGAGACATTCTGTAGGAAGTGGATGCAAAAGTACACTTGACTTTCACCTTTCTCACTTCCAAGGTAATCTCAGAGAGTTGAGTTTGTTAGTGTTTTTTACTCTGCACAATACATATTTGAATTCTGGACTCTGAAAATCCCCTAAATTTTCTATTGAAATTCAGATGGTGCTTATATTCCTATTTCTCATGTTTGATCATTGTCAAGTGAATTTAACTTCCAGGAGAACTTAACCTGGCTTGTTAGAATTAAAGAATTTTCTTCATGATCATTACAGTCATGTTGCTACTTTTGTGACAGTCATTTACTTTTTTTTTTTTTAAGCTTTTAAACCTTAAACTAATATCTGTAAGAAAATACATCCATTTAAGACAGCTGGGGCCAGAGGGATAGCTCAGCAGCACGGCACCTGCCTGGCAAGAGCCGAGGTCCTGAGTTCAATTCCTGGTACCAAAAAAAGACAGCTTTTTTCTCATCACATTGATATACAAGGGTTGTTAGGATTGTTAAGGGAAATAGATTATATATTTTTTTTAAAATACAGTGAATAATTATATGTGCACTTTAAGAATTAAGTGTTCCATAATTTATCAAAGATGCCATGAATTGTATGATGTTACCACAGAAAAATACCCAGTTACAGGTGTCGAATACATCCTGTGACCATTAGTCGCAGTGTGTCCACACTGTGGATTGAGTGGATTGAGTGGATTCTGAGCTGCTAGCACATTAGTAAAGCACAGTCTGGGTGTGTCTGCATGAAGGGCGTGTCGGCCAGCAGACTGAGGTAGGAAGCCAGCCCCTGCTATCACATCGGTGATACCAGCTAGTAGGCTTGTAGTACAGATGGAGTAGAAAATGGAAAGAAGTAGCAAGCATGCCCCTTTTAGAAGAGCCCGAGTTTTGCCGTCCCCTTTGGACACTGGGTTCATTTCTTCAGCCTTCCAGTGCAGACGCACCAGGGAGCTTCTCGGCCTCTGATCCTGAGCTGCTGCTGCAGCGTTGGTCCGTCTGGTTCTGGGGCTTCCTTGTCCTAAGGCTGAGCAGTGTCTGGGTCCCCTGGCTCTCCAGTGCGCAGACTCATGGTGCAACTCTCCCTCCTCTTAGACCTTGGAGAGCCACTATGGACTCCTCTCTTCTGATACAGAAGTGTACCTGGTAAATTCCCTTGCCTAATTACACATATTTTCTGTTGATTCTGTGCCTCTAGAGAATCCTCAGTAATAACCCAATTCAGTAGGGCACCCAGACTGTTCAATGGGGAGAGAGTTGTGTTTTCAACAAACGGAGCTGGCACACTTGGAGACCTTCCATGCAGAAAGATGAAGTTGGACCCATGCACAAACTAAATTAATTAAAAGTGCATCAGAGAGCTACAACTGTAGAATTCTTTACAGAAAAAGTAAACCTTTCTAACCTGGAATTAGTGCATGATTTCTTGAGTATTACACCAAAAAATAGCAAAAGAAAAAATAAATCAGGTTTCATTAAAAATTAACGTTTTTGTGCATTAGAGGATACTCAAAACAAGAAAATACTGGAAGATCATTTATCTTACAAGGAACTTGTGCCAGAATGTGTAAAGAACCCTTAACAATTCATTGATAAAAACACATTAAATAACGGTCAAAAATTTCAGTAGAGTTTCCAAAAGAGATGTACAAATGACCAACAAGAACATAAAAAACACACTAAACATCATTAGCCATCAGAGAAATGCAAACTAAAACCAGACCATACCAACATAGCTAGATGGCAAATGTCAAAAGACGATAACCAGCAAGGGAGTCGAAGTGCGGGAGCCCCACACTTGGTGGGACTATGCTTTGGAACAGGGTGCCAGTGGCTCAGAAAAGGTAAGGTAAACAGTTACCATGTGATCTGGTAGTTCCACTCTGAGTGTGTACCCAAGAGGACTGAAAATATTCACCAAAAATGGACATAAATGTCCAAAGCAGTACTGTGAAAATAGCAGAAGATAAAAAGGGAAACAACTAGAAACGAATGTCCTGTCCACTGAGAAATGTATAAACAAAATGTAGTGTATTCATAGGATGAAATATTTGGCTATAGAAATTATCAGTATACACTACAATATAAATGGACCATGAACATAGTGAAAGAATCCAGACACTGTGTGTCAGAAATGAAAACTTGTGGAGACAAAGATTAGTTGTTGCCAGAGGTTGTGAAAAAAGGAACAAAAATGATACAGGGTTTATTCTGGGTGATGTAAGTGTTCTAAACTTGGTGATAGTTGCACAACTACAGGAATATACTAAAAACCATTAAATTACACACTTAAAGGGTCATGACTTCTACAGTATATAAATTATACCCTGTGCATCTTAATTCAGAGCGATTAGACTGCAAATGTCTTTGTGTCTTAAAATTGAAATACTATAATCTGTTTAGTAATTCAGATGAAAATAGATTCCTCCAAATTGTGTCCACTGGAGAGATATTTTCCAAAGTCTTACAAGTTAGCTCATTCCATCCTGTCCCACTCCCACCTACCACTAAAGAGAATCTATACAGACCCCTTGCAAAAAGACTAGCAGGCAACTTCACATGCTTAAAAACATGCTGCTTTTTTGTTTTCTATTAGGCTGAAAGCATGGAATGCTATCCTGAAAGGCCTCAAAATATACTTTCTTTATGACTATTTTTGTAAATGCAAATTGTTTAGAAATCAAAATGAGGACCAGTGTAGAGCTATTGTAAAAAAATTAAACCCTAGGAAGGGAAATACACCTTTCTAAATTTAAAATAAAGCATTTTAATTGTGCCTTCAATTTTATCCGAGCTATTTAACCCAAAAGACTGTTCTGTGTAAGCTTTCACATGTGGCTCTGGAAACAGCAGAAGTGATGACTTGCATATCTGCGGCAGGGAGGTGTCAGGCTCCCAAAATGAGGCCACGGTTGTTACAGCTGGAAACCTCAAAATCTGCTCTCAAACTGGCGTGCCACCCGAACAGCCACTGCCTCTACGGGACGTGCCCCAGGTGCCCAGATGGTCTCTGCCTAAGCATCACCTCCTTGTTTTAATGGACATTAATGTTTTAATGTTTTAAACAACATTTGTTTAAAACATAATGTTTTAAACATTAATCTAATGTTGTTTTAGCTCCGAAACAGGATCTGGCTGAAGAATGCTAAGGTCATTCTTAGTTAGAAGAGGCATAATGGATTCTTCGTTAACTAAGTCCATATCCGAATTTAAGCTTCCATCAGGTTGCTAACGTTTCCTTAAAATGCAGATTCTTTAGCCACATCTAGAGAGACTGATGCTTTAGTTTTCTAGGTCTCTCCAGGGATTATCACTTCAGACAATTAAGATGACACCATATGTGATGCATGGCCCATACTTTGAGAAATTGTTCAACTATTTGATTATATTGCTATATTCCTCCATTATGGTATGATCCATTGTGCTCTCCAGCTTGGGTAGACCCAACATGGCTTCCAGGGAAGCTGAAGTATGTGGCCCCATGAAGCAGGGCTGATGACCTCCCCAGTCAGTGTCCATCCTGCCCTGTGATTCCAGCTGCCATTTTCTCTCAGGTGAATGGACCAGACTCTTCTAACTCCCTTGGTTTCTTTAGTTCATGACTTTAACCATTTCCACACTGCAGAAACCAACTTCTAGAGATTCTCAAACTACTTTGAAGGACTTCTGAGTTAAAGATGAACATACATAACTCTGGAAGTGTGCTGAACCCTCAAAGTGATCATTAACACCATGGGAATGCACTGTGAGTCAGCAAACTGTCAGCAGAGCACATTTCACAGGCTGAGTTCCTATCACCTAGTGAGGTAGGTAGGAGAAGGAAATTTTCTTTAATTTCAGAGTTTCATATCTGTATATGTTCTGGACATGTTCCACTGTTTACATTTTCTGTTCTATAAAACAAAAATTTTTCCTGTTGTATAAAATAGAGATGGTAGTATTGTCACTTCCCCCAAAGATGTAAAATTAATGTAACACTGGTGCTATAGTGTATTGTAAGGACTAGTAAATGATATTACTTCTACTGGTCCTCTGCAGGAACATTACCTCAAGTGTTTTCCTTAGAATTTGAGTCCAAGAAGCACTTGGGGAAGAAAAAGTCATGTAATCTTATTGCCTTGGGAAATAATCTAGTAAATGCCGAATTTATTTGACTATAGAGACTCTTTTATCCTAAATAATGTATTTTAAATTCTTGGAGAATGCTAAAATTGGTAGGCTTTAGCTATTATGGAACTGACAACATACATACTCAAAATTAGTTTTATTTTAAAAGAAATCAGTGATCATGAATCTAATGTTGGCCATTGCTATTCATGGAGTTCTAAATCCTAATCTTTAAAGAAATAAATTATTATTGCTTATGTACAACTCTGCATCACAGCCTTTATGGCTTAAAACTTTTCATATGTCATTGCTGATGTCTATGGAATTACTTTATGAAAAGAATCACACAGAAACTATAATTACGAGTGTATAAGCCGGGAGTGGTAATGCACACCTGTAAGCCCAGCACTCTGAGAGGCTGAGGCAAGAGGATACAGAGATTTAGCCTAGCCTGGGTAGTTTAACAGTTTAGCATGACGCTGTCTCAATGCTTAAAAAATAAAAAAGACTAGGAATGCTACTCAGAGTGAAGGGTCTCAATTCAAACCTAAATACAGGAAAGAAAAAAAAAGAATATATTTGAGGATATGACTATTAACAATGTAGCACCTCCTCAACTGGCAGGGTTTCTCAATTTTAAATGTATTTATATTTCTCAATTCAAAACCCTATTTATTAGAACTATTTATCTGGATTAGTGCACCTCTTGAATTGGGTGATCAGAATGTTTGACCAGATCTGCTACTAGTTTCTTGTAGAGGGTGAGGGCAGAAACTCGGGCTGGGGATGTAGCTAAGCAATAAAAGTGCATGCTTACTAGGCACAAGACCTCGGTTTAAATACAGTTAGAAACAGAA